AATATATGTTACTTATTTCTGGTTATTTACCTTTTCCACTTACCTACGCCTATGCTCTAACGCGCTACTCAATATTACCTACTGATTATAAAACAACGTATTTTTATTGACGGTTAAAAATCGTTAGCTCCATTAATATTCATGTCAACCGAACCAGACGAGGTTTAAATATTTTCTACTTTCTTTCACTAAACAAAAAAAAAAAACAGATACAAATAGCGAAAAACGTGTTCGGTGTCTTACAAGGTCGACAGGAACGCCTTAGGATTTCCTAAAAAAACGAAGTAGTTGACATCTCTGGCGCGAATTTGGTTAATTTTTTTAAAAAATTTGTCATTTTTTATTAATTATCTAAATAGTAGGCCACTGAAATCAGTCCACTTAGATTTATACAGGATGTACCAAAGATAAGTTGTTTCCAGAAACTTAGAAACAAAAGATTTTTCCAAATGTTAAAATTTGTAACTTTGCCAATAAAAGATGCGTGTCTTTTAAATTTTATAAAACTTATTTGGTTCTGAGTTTCTGAGGGGTCAAGTTATCGTAGTTACACCTTCTATTAAATAATAATGAATGTTTATTTCAAAGTTGACAGATTGGGTTTTATTATTTTCAATCTAAACATTCAAACGGAAACAAGTCATACTTTTATATCATCATTATCATCAAAATCACATTTTCCTTTCTTCTTATATTCCAGAATGTTATTACTCTATCCAGCAGGAATTAAAAGAAGATGATGTCAAGTTTGCTAGAGAAAATTATGTGGAAATAGTTTGGCGAAAGGTTTTTATTATAGTCTATTTTTATGTATGAGAGAGTATTAAAATAATAAAGCGTTCGTAATCTATAGGCGTATCACTTCTTTTAGTAGACAGTTAAAATATTTTTTGAAGTTATTTCTCGAGTATACACTTATATTTTCACCTAATGAACCTGCTTATAACTTCTAAACAGCTGAAGGTAAAAAAGTTCATTTTTTCCACAAGGTATATTAAGAACATTGTGTCAAACGGGTTATGTAGGTATAAGGGTTTAAACTTTGACTTTTAAACAAAGTTACGCTCATAAATAATAATTTTAATATAAAAACTACTTCTTACCTACAAATCCAAATCAGAATCGAAATCAGAAGATGAACTGTCGCAACCAATATTTTCCATGAGTGGCTCGATCATTTCATCAGTAATATTGTCCAACTTCACATTTTCTCTTCTTCTTTAATCGTATGATTTACTGCCTTTTCCCAGTTTTCAGGCTTCATATTATTTACAGCCTCCAAAAACAACTGTTTAACATCACTCATTTTAAAAGAATTATTTTTTCTTGAAACTTCTCCCTTTATCTGTGCCCATATCAGTTCAATCGGGTTTACTTCGCAATGATATGGTGGTGATCTAACCACCGTCATCCCATGATTTTTTGCAATTTCATCAATTTCATATTTTTTTAATTTCTCTTTATGAAGGGAACATAAATGATACAGTTCTTTCCTCACAGAATCGGGATGGAACTTAATATTCTTTGAATTTAGCCAATTCTGTAAATCTTTTTTTAACCACTTGGTTGTGGGCATTTTTTCTATAAGTCTCGAGTGATAACTTGCATTATCCATTACTATTATACAGTTCTGAGGAAGAAGATCTATAATTTGTTCGAACCACTCTTTAAAGACATCAGCATTCATGTCCTCATGGTAGTCACCGGTACGAGTAGATTCAAAAGTCAATAAACCACCTTTAATAAAACTGTTTGAACTACCCATGTGTACTATTATTAGTCTGCGCCCCTTTCCTGATGGTGGAATTAAACCAGTAGATAAATTATTTAAAAAAGCCTGTCTTCGACTTGTAACAGTTTCATCTTGCCAAAATTTATTTGGTTTATGTCCCTCGTTGATCCATGTTTCATCTAAATAAAATATATTTCTTCTTTGATTTCTCATTTCTTTTATAGTCCTTAGATAATTTCTTTTCCATACTACAATATCGCTTCTTTCTATTGAAATAGACTTTCTAGAATGCTTTTTCCATAGAAAACCTATTTCTTTTAAAAGTTTTTATAGTGTGCTTCGACTCATTTCAGGGTAATCCTTATCATCTCGAACCGTGGCAAGAACTTTGTCTACTGTCGGAAATTCTTTTCTAAAGACACTTTCCTTCGAAGTCTTTCTTTCAAAAGATTGAAATTTTGGTTTTCCTGAAGCTTTACGTGATGTTTGAAACTCGCCACATTTCTCTTCTTTAACAACTCTGTAAATCGTAGATTTCCCAACACCAAGCGTACTACTAACTAATTCCACTGTGTCATCAACACTTTTACATAAATGTTTGTCTATAAATGATTTAAAACAATTAAATATTAATGTTTTTTTCATTAACTGTTAGAGGACCAATTTTTTGTCGTTTACGCGGCCCTTCCAAATTTTCCATGATCACACTAGAATTCACACTGCACCTTGCAAGTTTAAACTAAACGACATTTAGTAAACTGTCAAGAATACACAACTTGGACCTCCTTACTAAATGGAAAACCTATAATCGCATTTTCGGTGAAATTTGTTGGGAAGGTATTTATCTACTTATAATTCGATTACTGTAAGAAATTCTTTGAATTAAAATAAAACAAAATTGGCAAATTGGTTTATTGAAAATAATCTTAAGATACGGCTATGTAATCTTTATTACACAGGGCTTTTGGCCTGTCCAAATCTTTTTCTATTATTCTGTACAGCTTATGTTTATAAAGGACCAATAAAAGACCCAAAACTTGTAATAGCTCAGGTACATTTATTACAATTTTAGGAAATATTTAGATTATTCTGTAAAAATATTTAAAATGACCGTACTAAGTTTTGCATTAGAAATGCTGTTTTATTACTCTCTCATACATAAAAATAGACTATAACGAATAACTATTTGAACAAAAAATCCTAAAATTAAAATAGCAACTCAGGTTAGGCGCGCACATTCGTTGGTTAATTTACCGGAAGTACTTACATTGACATTGACAGACGATAATACAGGTAGTCATCTTTATAAAACAAAAGTAACTAATTCAGACAGGGTTGCCAACTATAATAGATACGGTTATTTTAACAAAGTTGGCATTGCAATGGTTCTGAAAAAGAAAATAGATAAATGGGTCAGGATGCCTCTCATTTGTTCTCATTGGGCCAACTTGACATTAGCTAAAAAAAGGAGTGATATAAAACTATATTCTTGCCTTAAATTGAGTTGATGTTTTCTGTTCATTTGTACTTCTACCACCGTTTATTAACTATACACTTTGAATCTCCCTTAATATTTAATTTTGAGTATTTATTGTGATATACTTATAATATTTCGTATGTTTCATCACTTATATAGGAAAATGTTTAGACCAATTCTATTTTTTGTTTCAACAATCTCTCTTCAAAGCAAAACAAGTACAACTTAGTTATTTCATGCATTATCTTTAGCAAACTCAATTTCTCACACTCTTATTAAATTAACCTCAATACGAACTTATAATTTCCCGTCCTAGGTATCTTTGACCTATATTTCGTGATTCTCTGGAACAACTTGTTGATTATTCCTTATGATTTATATACAAAGCGATTACTCTTTTTCCAAATCGACTGAAAAATCTTATTTGTTCGACACGCAAAATCTGAACGTGATAGAATCAGAATACAAAGTTTGATTATTACTATATTGTAACGTTATCCCCAGGGTGAATCATATTCTAATTTGTGATCCAAATGCTGAAAGGGCTATAAAGGGCAACGTGAGGTATCAGATGAAATGCTGTTGGACCGTGCGCGCGAATCAGAGAGGGGCCGGATTGGCCGTATTTGGGATTCCTAAAATTCGCAATCAAAGGTGAAATAACTCGAAAAATTTGAAATCAATAATAATATTAATACTGAAGGTGACGGTAATAATAATATAATGTTGGTTCTAATTAGTACTACTATTCCTTAATTTGGCGCTTGGAAACATTAATAATGGCCTGTCTGTAGGCTTGATGGAGTATTAGGGTAGGTACTAGTACTCCTATACTAGGTAGAGTATTAACAAGAGTATTAGATTACTAGTACTCCGTAACCTACATAGAACACGAGGCTAATGGCTTAAATTATTGAAGCCGAAGAAACCAATGAAAAAATTATTTGTTCTTGTTCTGTTATTAGTATCTAATTGTTGCAATTCAAGATCAATTCAAGTAGCCCTCAAATTTCTTAGAGATGATTAAAATTTCTAATCGGCAGAAAGTGTTCTAGTTAAGATTTACATTTCTGTTTGTATAGTCCTGTGAATATAACATGCAGAAGTGTTAGTTCGGGGTTGACTATTTTTGGCGAATTGTTCTTTCTGCTTGTACGTAGTGAAAAGGGCCGGAAAATTTTCCATTCTGGGGTTGTGTGTATTATTTTTTACCTTATCCGAGGCGTTGACTGCAGGTGGGGGTGCGGGGTTGAATTTTTTAGGTTGAGATTGGGTGAGTTTCCTCTCCTTTATTCTGGCGGCTCTTTAGGTGTACGACTTGCACTGGGTGTAATTGGCAGGTTCGGGTTAGGTGATCGCCGGCGCACTTTAAACATTTTGGCGGTCTGCCGCAGTTTGAGGTGGCATGTTCCCATGCCTGGCATTGAGTAATACTCCTGGTTGAGCGTCGTAATTCCCAAATTACTCTCGTATTCTCGACTACCCTTACATTTTTATTAAGGTAGTCAAGCGTAAAGACCGGGTCGGTGACCACTAGAAATAGTGGCCGGTGTTTGGTAGTCATTTTATATATTTTTTTGGGCTTTATTTTATACGAGGCGATTAAGTCTTCCTCTATAGCCTCCTTTTCGGTACCCTTCGCTAAACCCCTGAGAACAAAGGCGTGAGTTTTGTCGGATTTGTTTGTATAGGTATGGTGGGGTATTTCCGCCTGTTTTATGCTTCCCAATAGGGATTCGTAGTCTTCTTGTTCCTCAGTGAAAATAACGGTGGTAGAGTTTGTGTATTTCACTATTTCCTTTTTATTATTGCTTGGAGGTCACTAGTTAGGCTTGCGTGATTGTCTGTTCGGCCTTCTACCACTATAGGAGGGATAGAGGACATTTTATTTATTTTCGGTGCCGTTTTGTCTATTATTATGCTGCTTTTCGTGGAATTACCCTTGATTGGGAAGTTGGGGGTGGCTTTACCTTTATTTGTGGGAGCTGTTACGGTGTTTTGCTCGGGTTCTGCTTCACTTTCACTAAGGGAGTCGTATTTGTTGCTTAGTGGTATTGATGCTGTAGCTTTGCATTCCAGAAGTTTCATAAAGTTAGTTTTGAATTTTTTAAATTTTCTTGGCTTCTGAAATTCTGAGTTGTCTTTATCTGACTCGTCTTCCCCGTCATTTTCAACTTCTACTGTTTCTGGAGGAGAGATGTTTTCCTCTTTGGGAGTAGAGTTTTCGGGGGCGATACCTTCTGTATAGGTGATGGTGGCGTAAATATGCTCTGTCTCAGGGGTTGTGGTGGTGGTGATGGTTTATTTTTACCCTCCTCTTCACTGGAGGTCGTAGAATGTAAGTCCGTCCCGAAGTTTAACACTCTTGCCGTAACCGAACTCGGCATCAGCAGGGTTTTATACGCGGACTCGAAATTTTTAAAGGTGCGTTCACTGTCTATTTTAGGGTTAACCTCACTATCGCAATTTTCACTGTTTTTAGTTTCACTACTATTTACGTTTCTCGCACTTTCGCTGGTGTTGATCGCACTTTCGGGGTTTATACCGCTTATGTCTAGGGGTGAGTTTTCCGCACTTTGATAGATTAGAGTGTTCTCTGCACTGCTGGGATTATCTTCTGCTTCCATAGAGAGGTCATTATAAGCTATGTGGCTATCCTCAGAGGGTGGCGTGAAAAAAGGATTTTTCTCCATACTTTGGAAAGTTGATGAATTTTTCCGAATATGGGTGTTTTTTGATGGCTTGTGCCTGGGGAGTGGTGTAAAACCTCCTCAATGGCTTTCTTTATTTCCGAATCTGTATCCAGTTGGCTACTGGAGCTATTTCTAATTTTCTCCAAACTTTCTTTTTTGGCTTCTGTGGAATGTTAGCCGTCGGACTTCACATTTTTCGACTCCGGGTGGGACGAGGACTTAGGTTTGGACGTACTCACATGCCTTTAGGGATGATGTATTGTCCTTTTAATTTTTAGGGTTATAGGACTCTTGGTACTCCTGTCCTTCTCCGTTTTTCTGATGTTTACCGTTGTGGTTCTGTCCTTTTTGTCTCTTCTCCTTATGTCTTCTTCTTGAGTAAAGTGTTTCAGACTTTGGATTACTGGAAGCTGTGGCCGCCCTTCCGGGCTCCAACATTAGGGATTCACTCCCTTAGAGCAGTTTTTAACTACTATACCTGGCTATAAAATTGGGCGGGAAATCTAAAACAACAACAATGAAATTTGTAGGTTATGAACACCTGATGGTTATTAACTGAACTAAAACTCGTCTAGCCGCTATAAACCGTCCCCAGATAAAGTACAGAGGAAGAACAGTTTCATTCTCATCTTCCACCTTTTCACCAATAATTGTTATGCTTTTCAGATTGTAATTTTATTTTTTTAAAATTGGTGAATAAAGTATATTTATTAATATTATTAAATTTGGTTGTCTGTATATTTATTAATAAATTTTAAGGAAATGTCCTAATCTAATATAGTATACTATTTTTATAAAAATAAATGTGGGTACTTAATATTGACAGTTTTCTATATTAAAGAAATTTCGTATTTCCCGTCACTGAGGTATTGAATTATTGGTTAATCCCTTAATCCCTCATTTGCACTTTATGATGTATTGTATTTGAGATTTTTCGGGGTGGTCATACTAAAATCTAGTGAAAATTCAGATAAGAAGGTATCAATATTTACTTTTTTAAGCTTTGAACAATCCTGTATATAGACATTTGCCATAAAAACTTGGTTCAGTAACTGAAGACCTCAAAATATGCAAAGCTGTCATTAAGTCGGTCCAGATTTCCTTTGTGGCTCAATTCTTAGGTCTTAGGTTCTTAGGTCTTAGGGCTCAAAATGGCCCCTAAAGTCCGAAAAAATGGTTTCCCGCTAATATCTGCCAAAATATACAAATTAGACAATTTTTGTTTAAATAAAAAATGAAGATCGTATCATTATATAAAAAAATGGTCCTTACCAATTTTTTCGCAAGACGAATATTTTTTGCAAAAACGGTCTTCGAAAAAGCCCGAATTTTTGCACTGAATAGAAATGTTAGTTTCTCATTGAATTTCTGCTCGAGGGAGTTGGGAAAACATTGATTTTCATGTTTTGAACTTTGGAGACCAATTGTAGATGGCGCCAGCGGCATACCTCTGCTCACTAAATTATGGGGCCTATGAATGGAAATCCAGGCACCAATCGATCTTTCGAAAATTATTAGCGGATTCTACGGGATTTTTCTGTAAAGTAGCGCTTGGGGGGTCTCATCTATATTGCCGAATGTTCTTTGTAATTTGCTTTGCAAAATTTAATAGAAAAGTGCAAAAAAAATTTTTTTTTTTCATGTGGCAGTCTCAAATCCCGGCGCTTTGCCTAATAGTAGGTTATTAGTTTTAGAGTCTGATGAATATTGACCCGAAAAGACCCTTTATATTTTCTGCGTTTTTTGCAAAATTTTCGCCAACTTCTTTCGGAACAATATAGGTCCAGGGTTTCAGAAAAATAAGAAAGTTTCTGAAAAATTTCTTTAATTATGAAAAACATGTTGAAAATACGAAATACATAGCAATGCTTATAATTTATCATATTAAACCATTCAATGTCATCAGAATCATACTCTTCATCGTCTTGCTCTTGCTCTATCCCTTCCCCTCCTCCACGCGTCCCTTCCACCTGTTTTTCCAACCCCTGTGTTGCTGTCTCGACAGCTATTTCATCCTCCTTCCCTTCAACCCCTTCTGGGTCTCGATCCATCATTAATTGTTCCGGAAAAATACCTTCATTTTTGTTATAATTAAAACATTGTATCGACTGACACGAACCACAGATAGGCGAGCATTTCAGTCCGGCTTTCAAACATGTACAATTCTTCTCGCAGCCTGTCTTGCACTGACAAAAAATCATCTTCAAAAGAGTTCCGAGGGGGCCGGATCCCTTTTACACTTAATTTCATTAATTTTTCTGGTAATATACACTCACTTTGTAAAGCAAATCTTCTAGAAGTGCCGCTAAAAGCTCTCTATCTAAAAGGCTTTCTATTTTATGTTTGTTTTAACCTAAAAAAAGAATAACATTAGTAGAAATAATTATATGATAGATATAGCAACAAAAGACTTACCTAAACCCCAAATCTTCGATATATATTCCACTTTAACTCATTTGTGTTAAATATAGAAAAGAAAAGTAATCATTGTTTATTATTGTACTATTCGAACCCAGAACTGTGAATTTTCTTTAAATATACGAAAGAAATATATAACCACCGACAATAACGACTCCAAAAACAATAGAGATTGTATACCAACAACAGCAGATGGTTAAGGTGAATGCGTGGCTCGTGGGTACACGTGGTTAGGTTATGATGGAATATCATAGATCTCAGGCGGAGAGCGTAAAAATGGGGGAGATAATTCTAACAAACAGTTAAGAACCACGCTCACATACGGGGATCAATTGATAGAAATGGAAAGGTGAGAATATCAGCTTCACTTCGGTCTGGGTATTAATGTTCAAAAAATTAACAGCGGGAACAAGAAGTATTAAAAAAAAGTCCGGTTTTCCCCGGTGTGATCAATTTTCCCGATTTCGGAAAAGGGAGCAACTTTATTAAAAAAAAAATACATTCAAAAAGTAGACACTCTAAGCTTTAAAATGGTGTGCATTGAATAACAATATAATGAAATATGAGTTTTTAATTACTGCTTGTTTCAAAGATTTCTAGAACTCCGAAAACGTATGAAAAATGCAAATAAACAAATCAATTTTGTTTTAAAACGCCAGGAAGATACTGGAAAAAAATTTCTGAGATCATTCTAGACATCTCAAGATCCCATTTAAAACAAAAATGGGATAAAAAAACTATTAAAAGAAAAAAAATATGAATGAATTACTATAAAGTGGTCCAAAATAGTAGGAAAACGAAACTTTGACCCCTACATGACTCTAAATGCAATCATACTAGATGTAACTGTCCCATCTCGGAAAAAACAGTAGCAATAAAATATTTAGGTGTAATGATTGACCAGCACATAAGATGGAACGAACACGTTACTTACGTTACAAAACGCTTAAGAGTCTTGTTTACCAAATTTTATAACATTAGATATATTCTTTCAAAAAACAATTTATTTATGATCTATAATTCGTTTTCCGAATCAATTTTAAGGTATTGTATAACGATATGGGGTGGTACTTTTAAAAGTACGTTACAAAATCTGCAAACTACATTAAATACATTAACTAAAATATTATTTAAAAAGGATAGACTATATTCAACTCAACTACTATATCAAGAATTAAACATTTTTACTTTAAGACAATTATATACATATCAGTGTCTTCAAAGGGTATACAGAGATCAGGATAAACTACACAAGGTTTCATCAAAAACCAGAGCAACTACAAATTTAAATTTGAATGTAGACCTATTTCAAAAAACGGTAACACAAAGATATTTCTTTTATTTTGGCCCCAAATTGTTTAATCTTCTCCCTTTATCAACGAAACAAATAACTAAATTATCTAAATTTAAAACTGAAATCAAGGAATTGATCCAAACTTCCCCAGATATGTTTGAAATATTTTAAATAAAACTGCAAATAACGTACATTTTTTCTGGTGTCTTTTCAAGTATTTTTTACAATTTTTTAGCGTTAACTTCTGTTCAACTATACTACAGGAGAAAGTTTTAAACCTATCTCACTTATTGGACCTGTCTTGCTTTAGTTTCCTATTACTCCTATTACTGGGTCGTTTTTTCTTTTTAATTTTTTTTTTTTTGTACTTTTAAAACAATTTATTATTGTATTTTTTTATGGAAGGGATCACACAAGACAGGCATATATGCCTAGGTACGATCCCCTCCATGGATAAAAAAAAAAAATCTTGTAATCTGATACGTAATATATTTGATTTGATTTGATTTTTCAATGTTCTTGACAGAAAATAACGGTCTTCAAGGCACATGGATCGATACCTATGGGATTTCCCATTGTAATGAACTTTGAATCATCGAAAAATATCAATTTTTGACCGAGTTCTGAAACAATTTGTCCACCCGTTTACAAGCTAATCAGCATTGCTATAGAGATAAAGCAGGGGCTGAACGAGGGACTTTTGATTGCGGTTATCTCGAAACCTGTCGAATTCCCGACAAAAATGATAGGGACCATTTTTGTAGATAATGATAAGATATTTCTTTTTTATCAAAACAAAAATTCTCTAATTTGCATATTGTGGAAGATATTGGCAGGAAGCCAGATTTAGGGTCCATTTTGGGCCCTTTCCGATGCAGCAGAGTTGGTAAAAGTTTTCGACCTTGGAAGCGACCGCCGAGACCTAAGAGTTGAGCCACAACGGAAATCTGGACCGACTTAATGACAGGTTGGTCCCTTCAGTTACTGGACTAACTGGGCTATCATGCATTTTCAATTAAATTATAAACATTTTATAAAATTTACAATGAAAAAATTGTTGCTCTTACTGCAAAATGTTCTAAGATTAAAATATGAATTTTATTCTCGCAGATGTTCTTTCCAACAGAAATTTATGCAAAAAGTTCATCAAGGATAATTATGAAAAAGATTTCTTGCAATTCTTCGAAGACATTATATTACTATAAGTAGGTTGTAATATAGGATTCGATTAGCAATTAAAATCAGTTTTATGTTCCTAACCTTGTTAAGGAATTAAATCAACGGCTCG